AAGACGGTAGAAAGACGGTAGAAAGACGGCAGAAAGACGGTAGAAAGACGCCAGAAAGACGGTAGAAAGACGGTAGAAAGGCGGTATAAAGACGGTAGAAAGACGGTAGAAAGACGGCAGAAAGACGGTAGAAAGACGGCAGAAAGACGGTAGAAAGACGGCAGAAAGACGGTATAAAAACGCCAGAAAGACGGTAGAAAGACGGCAGAAAGACGGTAGAAAGACGGCAGAAAGACGGTAGAAAGACGGCAGAAAGACGGTAGAAAGACGGTAGAAAGGCGGTAGAAAGACGGCAGAAAGACGGTAGAAAGACGGCAGAAAGACGGTAGAAAGACGGTAGAAAGACGGCAGAAAGACGGTATAAAGACGCCAGAAAGACGGTAGAAAGACGGCAGAAAGACGGTAGAAAGACGGTATAAAGACGCCAGAAAGACGGTAGAAAGACGGCAGAAAGACGGTAGAAAGACCGCAGAAAGACGTTATAAAGACGCCAGAAAGACGGTAGAAAGACGGTAGAAAGACGGTAGAAAGACGGTATAAAGACGGCAGAAAGACGGTAAAAAGACGGTAGAATGACGGTAGAAAGACGGTAGAAAGACGGTAGAAAGACGGTAGAAAGACGGTAGAAAGACGGTAGAAGGACGGTAGAAAGACGGCAGAAGGACGGTAGAAAGACGGTAGAAAGCTTATTGTTCGTTCAGTTAACCTGGGGTACTTTTATGTAAGCTAACATTCATTTAACTAACATTAATCAAGCTCATTCACAAGGGGCGTGTTTCTCTGTTCTGAATCCTCTCCTTGTAGCCTACTGATATTGCAACTCTTTAAAATTCTTCATAATGATGATACTTTTCTTTGTTTCTCAGCTTGAAGGTTTTAGCACTGGCGAGATTGAAGTCAAACTTCACTGGGTGTCGGCTGCTGGGACACTGAATGTGAAAATTGGATGTGTACGTAGGCTGAAGAGCCCTCGTGGCACCTTGAAAAGACCCTTCTACATCAAAGTCTTTCTGTTTATCGGTGGCTGTGAAAAGAAGCGGTGGAAATCATCAGCTAAGTTGGCGGAGCCAAATTTATTATTTGACGAGGGCTTTTCCGCAGATTTAGATTCAGCTCAAATCACCGAAGCAATTATTCTCATTCAGGTTTTCGCTAAACCAAAAGAAATCTTTAGCTTCCATCCAGAACTGATAGGAGGAGTGATAATTGGCCCATACATGCCAAAGTTGTCTGACACGTTTACCCATTGGGAAAATATGGTGGCCAAACCGTTCGAAGAAATTTCTGAGATTCACGATCTACATTTATGAGCACCAAATATGTCATCAAGGTAGAGAATATTCTGTAGAGATGCAGGTCCAAAGGAGTCAAAGAATTTGGGTAGGCCTTAAGATGACAAGAAAATCTGAGTGAACTTTGAACAGCAATTAGTGAGCAGCCCATTGGGAAATGTTCTCTCTCTCTCTCGCCACAGGACGACTTCACTAGAGGTCAGGCTTTCTGTTGTTTATCGGTTGTTAAAGGAATATCGTCTTTCATGAGATCAAAATTCAATTGACTTTACTGGAAATATCTTCGATTTCTTATAACATGTCAAAAAAAATAATTTTCTTGTAAATATTATTTTGTATCGAACGTTATTTTAACCATTGCCTTAGTATAACATTTTTTTATGCTCTTAGCTTTCATGAAGCACATGCGATATTTTTACGCTGTAATTAAGTTATACTGCCATACACATAGCTTTTTCAAGTATCCTTTTTAATCGTGTTGTCGTCACACGACTTAAATTATGCTTTTTTATTTATTCATAGCTTTGTTTAAAATACCGTTTCTTAGTATATGCATTCACAGTTCAAGCTGAAATTTCGATTAAATTTTTCAAACAATGACCTCTTGCATTTTTTTTACATTGTCCTGTTTGGTGTGAAGAGAGGCATCATGGTATTCTTTGTATTTCACATGAATCCTTACGGGGTTCTTGAATGAATATTAGAGAAATATGCGCCAAGCTAATGTAGCTGTTTTTCGTGCTGCATGCCTCCTCATTTACCTGCACTACTCGACCACCCCAGTCCTATCAATCCATATTATTCCCCTAATTCTACCACTCCCATTCTGCCATTTTTTTTCTACCACCCCACTTCTAACTCACCTATTCTACGTCTCCAATTGTACCACTCCAATTCTACCATCCCCTTGTTCGAAAAGGCAACAATTTGTTCTTTAGGCGCTGAGTTCGACAAAAAAAGATGTACAAAATTTGAAAGAACAAAAAACTTTGGTTATTAAAAATCTATATACAAGTTCGATTTCGATAAATCCGTTCAAAACTTGTTACAATTCTTTCCGGTCAATTACGATTAAATTGGCACTCTTCTAAATTGGTACTAAAAATTCCAAAATATGTGCTCTCAGAGCACTACAAAAAACAGGATTTAACTCTTCAACCCCTTTCGGCGACTATTGCGCAAAATTCTAAAATAAGTAAATGTGATTAACTGCATACAATAGGGAGGAAAATCTTTTCTTCTCCAGAAGCGCTAACAATTTGAATATAAGTGCAAGGGCAATAGGCTAATATTTGAGTGCATTATAAACTTTGGTTATCATAGATAAACAGCTGATTAGATGAAATATACGTTTAAAAATCCTATTGTTCTAAAAAATCTCTTACCCCTCGGGCAAATTGCTTTGATTGAAGAGAGAAAAACAAGCATATTCATAATACCCCAAAGAAAAATTAACTGTATTATTTGATTCCAACTTGCCGTGATCGGACTTTTTTGTGCACTTGAAAAAAGTGAGAACTCTCTTGATATCCTAAAAAACATGTACCGAAAAGCAACGTGTGCTGTAAAAGTTGGGAACTGTAGAACCAAATTCGTCAATTAAATGAACATTTCTAGACATGGTTGCCTATTAAGCCCTTTCCTTTTCAGTATCTTCACAAATGATTTGCAGATGGTCAAGTGCTCAAAGGTACTTCCAGGTAAGCCTGTGTGCCTTAAAGGTAACACGAGGCATCGTGCCAGGTATTACATTCATCTGATCATACCACCTGTAAAATGTACCTTTAAAGACTCATTGCTAACAATGAGCCATTGCTCTACGCAAGCATCCCATAATGCATTTTTAGTCTGTCTGAAATCAATTTTGGTTAATCCGTAGAAGTTTACTGCCATTGTTTGGACCATCGCCACGCTCGCAAAGGCCCATTGTTAGCAATGAGTCTTTCAATAGAGTTATTGAGGGGAAAATTGAGGGGGAAAAGAAAGGAAAGAAGATGTCAGTTTAAAAGTCAAAGGGCATATGTGGTGGCCTTTGAGCCTGCCGTGTCCTTGGCACTGCAGTGTAGATTCATAATTTTCACAGGTCGTATGACAAGATTAATGTAATACCGGGCATGATGCCTCATGTTACCTTTAAGGCAGCACTTGACCATAACCTGACCACAAGAAGCACTTGACCATAGCAGTTTTACAACATCTATAAGGTTCAGATATATTGTGAACATTGGAACACGAATTGAAACGTAGAAAGTATTAATTGTATTACATTCCAAACAGAAAAAAAAATTGATTAGAAGAGCAGATTTTTTGTGGAATTAAGGAAAATGATGTAATAGTTTTGAAGAAGGCCTTTGTTTTGTTTGATATGAGTTTACGACGAGAGAGAAATTTACTGTTGTGCTTTAAGCTTTTTTTCCTGACAAAGCATAAAGACAAAGCCAATGAGTTCACTCAAATTCCAGCTCTAAGAGACTTTTTGAAGCAAAAGGAGCACAATTTTATCTGGAGGAATCCCTCATTCTCATCATAATTTCAGCCTCTTTTGAACGTTGGTAGTATCCCAAATCCTGGTTTTTGGCTCTGAAATACGAGGAACAAACAACATTTTTTGAAGCATGTTTATGTTTTTGGATCACGTCGAAAAAGCACTAAAGGTGGATGGTCTTTTTTACCGTTGTTACCTAATCAAATTGGATCTTATGCCAGCGGATCTTAACTGTAGTAAGCATTTCGAGAATGTTATGCAAAGTTTAATTTTAGAAAACTTTCACGCCTTACAATATATAATAGGTATTTGACGAGGGAAATTTATTTATTAAAAAGGGGGGATTTCTCTTCCTTTAAAAAACGGTATTTCGCTCCAAAACAGACGATATTTGTGTTAAAAAGCTAAAATTTAATCCAAATAGCTAATGACTTCAAGCCAATGAGAATATCTGAAGCCAAAGATGGTTGAAAATAGCCATTCCATTATTTAGTATCACGTCATATCATACGCTGGCCCTTATTAGCGAAATATCATCAGTACACAAAACAACTTTATTGTCTTTTTTGTCTGGCACGTGTGTTGTTACTTGTCTCGTGGATTTGGTCTACTGCGCCGCAAGTACTCTTTAGGCGGAGTCCATGTAGTCCAAAGTTCGTGTAGCAGTTCTGCTAACGTGGCCTTTTCATCGTTTGTATATCAAAATAATTATCATTGAATGGGACGAATTTCGATCGATAAAAAACTGTGGAAATATGTTGATGTTATTGCTGCAATGTAAGATTAGTTTAGTTGCGTGAAAAACCTAAGATTCAATTTTGCTTTTTATCGGTCGATGATTTTTAAATTATTTACACAACTTTATTTGTCTGTAATTAGATTTACTTTGTGATTCAGTTGGAGGAAGTATTTTTGTGCTTTAAGCGGCTTTCAAATTGGTATAGAAATCTGCTTTTCAGTGTATTGAGGAGGATTGGCTGAGCGTAAAAACAATGTTTGCTATATTCAGTATTTGAACACATGCACAGGTTGGTAAACAAAAGAAAGCAATCTAGTCAACAGGTGGAAACTCTCTGCAAATCCACAATGACCATAAGGAAAAGGCCATGTGTTTCAAGAGATAATAATGAATAAAGTTTTGGGGTGCATGGCAATTAATGCATATGAAAGTGCGAAGCATTCTAATATGCTGGCTAGAGATCCTACCGAAAGATGCTTATGAGAGATGCAACGAAGACTGCAGTTTTCACCTGAATATTTTAGCGACCCAACCATAGAGGTAACGATTTTTGACAAAAGCAGTGAAGTGATCGGCGATGGAGCGCACAAAAACAACAGATGAAAATCAATCAAGAGGTAACTATTTCCCGACAACGCAATTCTTGTTGACGACGTTTAAAGAGCCTTTGAATGCTCGGATCAAAGAGGTTCGAGTTTTCATGGAAAGAGGCTCGAGTTTTCATGGTCCTGCAATGCAGCTACTAAGCTCAAATTATATTATATCTGGCACTGGCAGGGACGGTAAACGGAATTTGAGCAGTGAACCTGAGCCCTGATGTTCTAGACAGGGAAAAAATCCAAAACAACAGAAATGATAAGCTGAAACTTAGGCAGCCCTTCCACTAGGCTGGCTAAAAACAACAACGGGTTTTATGTAACCAGCTTAAAAGGCCATTCAAAAATTGCATTGAGATAGGAATCATTGAGTATAGAATTTTTTTTCAAAAGAAATGTCTTGTTTTATAAATAAGTCAAACAGATAAGAGCATATTTTTGTTGACGTGATAGATGAATTCGTTCCAAGTAGGATGTCTGCTTTGTCTTGTTTTCCCAGTTAATTCTGTATGCTCCTTGCTTTATTCATGGCTACATATGCCCAGTATTTCCATTGTATAGAGAGATTCTTGAAAATCAGCTACATTTTTGTCCTTATATTGAAACTATGAATTTTTAAACCGGCCTTTTCCGCCCCAGTTACCCCCTACTCATAGGATAGAAACAGCAGTTATTTTGGGTTTGCCGAGCTCCTTATGAAATATTTTGCACCATCCTTGTTATCCCTTTTGTCCAAGCCTTTCTTTATCGGCTTTTATCGGTAATGACTTTTCACAACCCAACTCATCAGCTTTGTGTTTGAATATATTTTGTTCTTTTCAGCAGATTTCTTTTGACGTCAGCATTACGTAACCACATATTTTTATTGACTTTTCTATGCACCGAAAGTTACCAAGCTTACCATATCAATGGTCTACCAAGCTAACCATAGCAGATTAACCATGTACTGAAAAAACAATTTTGTTAACTTAGAGATTTTGGCCTGCCACGAGAAGTGTTTGTTATAGTTCAATACACTCATCATGATATATAACCCCTTCCCTATCCCTGCATTCAGGCACACTTCTTTGTATTTATTATTTTTTGCAAAAGGGACTAAAGCCCCCGCAGCCCGCCTGCCCCGCAGTGTTTGTTATTTGACAGACTAATATTTGCGGTAAGTGCTTTGCTTACTTAGGTTGTAGAAGACCTACCCAATCGCATGAGATTTTTTAATCGGCATGCCAGGGAACGGTTGCCTGTTTTACTTCTCACTTTCTGATCTTTCCCTGCGCCAAGATATTTGCAAATGCAGAGCCTGAGAGAAATTTCTATGATATGGAAGGAGAGGGCTGAAAAAATGGTGTGACAAATTCTACGAAGAGAGGACAAGAAAGATCTGAAGGGAGGCTTAATGTTGACACAAAGCTCTTAAGACTAGGTAATCTAATTGTTTTTGCTTCTGCATTTCAGACAAAAGTTTTTTGATTGGTGGCAGTGTTGCACTGGGCATTCTTTTGATGCTTTTGGCAATTGCAATTTGGTGGTTTATCATCAAAAGAAGAAAATTGAAGCAGAAAAACAGTAAAGCTGCCTCCAGGCCTTCAGAGGTTCTTACTAAACCACCGGACATTCAAGTCAACAAAATTGAGTTTACGGTGCCTTCCAGTAATTTGAAGCATCGGGCATATGACAATTTGTCACCAAATGAGCAAACCTTGCCGTTAATTGGACCGTGCTTTGAGACTTCATCAAATGAGTCGCTGGACTCCAACAGAACACCCGAGGGCATTCCGACCGCGTTTGGTTTATTGCGACCGGACTTGTACTTATCAGATACTGAGAGTGAAAACAGTGGATTTCCGCCCGGTCACATAGGAAGAATTTGGTTCCGCCTAGAGTTCAACTGTGAAACGGAGAATTTGTTTGTAACTGTAGCTAAAATTGAGAATCTACCGGCTAGGCAACATCGTGGGAGCTCTTTGTCAATGAGTGGAGCCAGTACTTGTGACTCTTTTGTTAGGATTTTCCTGCTCCCTGATGAAAAGAGATATCTGCAAACCAAAGTGAAAAAGCGTACTTTAAATCCAAAATTCAATCAGGAGTTTGCTTTTTGCATGTCATACAGTATATTACGAGAAAGAACTCTTCGATTCTCTGTTTTTGACGTTGATCGATTCACAAGGCAAACTGTTATTGGACACGCGTTGTACTCCCTTGAAAATCTGGACATAACAATGGCGTTAGATGAATGGAAAGACTTGGAAAAAGTTGCTTTGGTTTGTTTCTCTTTTTTCATTTCTTCTCTAAACATCTTGTTCTCTACGTCTCTTTTTATTGATTTATAAACTTACTCTAAACTTATACTAAGTTTGTCAGTTTACTTTTTCTTCATAGTGTTATAAACATTAATTTCAAGTAAGTGTTATTTGGTTGAAAGTTGGTAAATTATTTTAGATTAAATTAGTTGTTTGACGATTAGCCAGTCAGTTAGGGACTTTGCTTTTACTGGGCTTTGTTAACTTGAAATTCTCTATGATAAAAAAATGAAGGTTCAACAACACGGTGAAAGAGAAAGAAGAAGTGAAGGAATAGTAAAAAACGACAATAAGAAGATAGATGAAATCAAGGGAGATTGATGTACGAATTAATGAATGAATGCATTAATTGATTAATTAACTAATCAATAGATTAATTAATTAATTAACGAATTTGATTAATATTTGGCTTCGAAAAAGAAAAATTATAAGTAAAAGAAGAAGAAAAAGGAAATCAGAAAAACCATGACATATTTAGAGTCAGAAGCCTGCATGATCTACATCTAATTCTAATTTTCGTTCCAACTCATTTAGTTCACTTTAACTGGCTATAATTTTTTGCTTATTGATTTGCTTTGCAATCATTTTACAGCCCTCGACAGAAAATTTTGGTGAAATCTTGATATCAATGACCTATCTTGAACCAATCAATCGCATGGCGGTGACTGTTGTCAAGGCAACCGGACTGCACCTTGTCGATTTTCAAATTCTGAGTAAGTCTAAACCTATCTTTTATTTATTGATAGACAATGTTTTTAAGGTGGAGAGTCCCCAAAGTGGTGTGCTTGATTAAAGTATGCCATAATGCGGCACAATTATGCCAAAATAAACCAGCAAATGTAACTAGAACTAGTCTGTTATAAGAACACTCTTAAAAGCAGAGTAAGCCGTTCTTGTTAGGTCAAATTTAGGAGTGCTCCTCCTACCGGGTGTAGAACAACGAGCTCGCATATGTGTACATAAATGCAAACGCAATAGTGGATGTTAGGGGCCCTTGTCTACGGTTTTCATGAGTCTGCCCTTACTGATAGCTGAGAAGATGAGAGTTTCCCCTTATTAAGGAAATGTTTTGACATCGAAGTTTTAAAAGCGTAGTTATGATCCTTGCAGATCCCTATGTGAAAGTGAGCCATTCAGTTTTGGGGAAAGTGACAAAAACGAAGAAGACGCCAGTTCACAAGGAGAACTCATACCCAGAGTTTGATTACTGCTTCGAGTTCAAGATCAACCCTGATATTTTGGAACGGACATGTTTTACCATTGAAGTTATGCACAATACTTCACCAGCCCTGAAACAAGACAAGATGATTGGGCGCATCGACATTGGGGGACCACTTGTGTCACGTGGTAAAGAGCTTGATCACTGGAATGAAGTCATGCTGCATCGCAATTACCCGGTTAAAGAATGGCATTATTTGAAACATTTGACTTAACCTTGAATTGACCTCGCTATCTATCAATATCATACATCAGAGGACAGTTAGGTGATCATGATATTTAAGTAATCATTTATTTTAACAATGTTTATACACTGAGAATTTCATGAATATGTTACTAGTCTTCAGCTTTGATGTAGGTATGAGACAAGATAATTTTGGGGATTCTGGGCTTTAATCTAAACAAGAAATCAAAAGTATGTATTTGTCACCAGTAGGGTTCTCCAAAATATATGGTAGTTTTTTGGATAATATTGTCTTTCAAGTCAATTTATTTCAATTTTAGAATTCTTCTTATTTTCAATAGATTGAAATTATAAGCGTAAGAAAGTCACGAGAAGTAACGGTTTCTTTTACAATGTTTTTGCAACTTCTTTCCTTGTGAGCATATCAATAGGAAAAAGGAGACATTTTGATAAATATATTTGATTGCTGAGGATAAACCAATTCGAATGATCCGAAACAATAAAATTCTTAAGAAGAACCTCGAAATGGACATCTTCCGCCCTATTCTGTATCCTAATCTATTTGGATCCGATCCCAACTGTTTACACGAGACCTTTTTGGGATCGGATCCAAATGGGATCATCTTCAAATGCGATCCCAAACGGATAGCAGATTCAAACAGCGAAGTTTCTCTTTGTTTTGTTTGTTTTCAAATTTTCGTGACATTTCTGTCAAGAGATTGATTCTGTGTCTTCAGTTTTATACCTGCAATCAATTATATTCACAGAGCTTTTATACAGAGCATGGATTTTCATGAGATTACGGAGTACTTGGTTTTCTCAAAATTCACTTGTTTCTAATCATTTTGCTTCGAGTACTATACTGTGTACTGAAGTTTATTAATTTTTCTGATGGCCCAGTACTTGTTTCTTTTTTCTAGCGAGCTTCTTGAAAAAATAGGCGTATATTGCACAACGTAGTGGTGAAATCAGGTTTTAATTTTGGTTGTGGGGGCCCAGGCTTACGATTTTTAGATTCAAATTTAGATATTTCTTTTCACAACAATTCGTTACATATGATTTAGCATCGAAAAATATAAAGCTACTGCTAAATTCATGATGATTAAGTAACAGGAAATAGTTATTTACATATTCATTTCATAACAGTAACTATTAATGAAAATGAAAAATGAAAACTGAAAACAAAATGAAAACTGTAGGACAAGTGGAAAAAACTCATTAGAGCTATCTAGCCATTTGCCCCTGTTTGACGTGAATTTATGGTAGTATTAAAATGTGAATTTGATCTAAAAACTGTAAGAGGCCAAAAGATGTGTTATTTTATGTCATGTAATACATTCACAATTATTCATAATTCCACGATGATAGGCAGATATTATCATCTTAACGATAATATAGTTAGCAAATAGAATGAGTACCAGAATGAAAATATGATAGTTTGATTGTTAAACTTTTCTATAATGAACTCTTTATCAAGTGGCTAGAAAAGAAACGAGCCGAGCAAAGAGAAGGCGAGATTCGATAAATACAAAAGAAGGCGAGATGCGACGCAACCAAAAATCAGAATAGGGGAAGGGGAGGAAAGTAAGAAAAGAGTAGGTAATAGATGTAAAAAAAATTATTGAAGGAAATTAAAATTGTTATTAAGACCATTAGGATAAAGAGTTTTTAGGCTAAAAATTAAACGTATGGTGGTGTCTTGAGTGTCTTGCGGTGCATGCAATAAGCCAAGGATAGAAATGTCGCCAGTAGAATGATTGAAGGAGTTAAAATGATTGGATATGTTGCTATCTGTATCGCTTTAGTGTTCTTCTGTCAGATAGATTTTGTTAGCAACATTTCTCCAATGTTCTCCAAAACGGTTGTTAACTTGACGAATTAAATTTGTCGGTACTTATTTGTCCAATTAAGTCAGTACAATAGGATATAACGGAAAAAATAAGCGAAAGAGTACTACGCTAAAAATGAAAGAATATAAGACGAAAAGCTCAATTTTCCGAAAAGGACGAAATTTGGAGGATTATTGCCCCTAGCTCCGCTGCCCGTACAGACAGAAGTTCCGTGAAACTTTTTACGCAAGGCTAAGTCAAGGTGGTAGACGAGATTTAAGGAGGATCATTAATATTATGGAGTTCAAAAAGTTCCGCGTTCCCCAAAGAGTTCCAGGATGTCTCCGTGGAGTTCCGAGCAGCCACTCATAAAACAGATCCTTTTTCTTCAAAAAAGCGCGGCATGCTTTTATACAGAGCTGGGATATAAATTTATTTGCTTAACAGTTGCTCGGCCTTTGCCCCTCTAGCAGCGGTTGAGGAGAACTTCCATGTTGAGAAAGCACTGCGCGTGGTCAATGAAGGTCCATGCAAAGAGACTAAGGTGATTCATTTCTATGAGTCGAGATCTAGTAATGAGCCTCTTTAATCTTCTCGTAGTTGATAAAATTTCTTTGCCTCTTTCCTATGAATTACTAGAAAATTAAAACTCATCCAAGTTTGGCACCCGATCATGGTAGGCCATAGCGCACAGTCGAAGTTAACAGTTACTAGCACAGGCACATTTTCGATTCATAGGTGCCTTCCTTCCTATGTGAACTGTAATGTCGAAAGCATAAATGCAAAAGCCCTGTTGATTTTTCTGTGGCACTTTTCTGTAAGTAGTTATTAACAAAGAATCTAGCCTGGTATTGCTCATCTATTTCTATCAAAAATGTGTTCTTTGAGCAGCACAGCATACGCACTTTTTGCTTTGAAAGGTAGCAAAACCAACCTGAAATGATATTCTCTTTCAGGGTCATTGGATGTAAAGGACTCCTCTGAATAAAAATAGTGTTTGAAATAATTTTGTAACGTGCTTTCTTATTCTTTATGCATATTTGTATGATAATCAGTAATTGTTTACATTTTTGTTAGTTATTTAATGTCAAGTATTTGCATGTAGTAAAGTTTAAACCAATGAAAACTGAATATAACAGAGCTAATCGATGCTGCTGATCACGTAAATAAAATAAAATCAGGCTGCATGCTTTGCAAGTGATGCAGAAAACCTGAAAAATGTGCAAACTTAGAACTGCATCATTAAACCTTGTCAATTGATTGACATTAAAAATATATTTTTTGTATCTTTTCATGCAGTGGCTGGAGGTGCTCATTAGCTCAACTGAAAGAACATAAAATGAGAATATTAATATTTAGTAGCAGTGGCTGCGAAGAGGTACTTTGTTACTGTGAATAAACATTAATGCTTACTGGTTTTGCCAATATTGCTCAACACCTTATAGGCAGGCCCTGAGGAAAACTGAATAACCATGCCCCCATTTCTGCTCTTGCAAGCAAAATTTTCGTGAACACCGATCAGATTAGCTTAAAGTTTATTTCAGAATTTTTCTTGCAGTCATTTCTTTCATTTGTTTAAAATTCTTTACTATTCCCCCCTCCCTTGCCCCCCTCTTTAGGTGGTCCTGCTTATAGGCAGAGCTTTATATGATTTGGTATGTAGAGCAGGATTGCTATAATCTGCAACCCTGAGTTTCACACTTAATGTGATCATTATGACATTGATTTGTAATTTGACTGGTGTAAGTAAAACAAAACTTGCAGTTGTGAAGGTTTTGTCCTTTATTTCGCAAGTTCTTTTATTCACTCTTTTTCAAACCAATGGCGAAATCTGACAGAGATGCATGGGTAAATGTGCAGGCTGTGGATACCTAACTCTGTTTTGCTCATTCTGTTTCAATTTCTCTATTTTTTATTTGGAATGCAGCACTAAAGGAGATCTATCCATTTGTCTCTGTATAATATCTTGCTTTGATGATTTTTTGCAATGGAAAAATTATCTTTTTATTTACCAATTCTATATAGTAATAAGCTATTCAAAGAACCATTCATTTTCCTTTGATTTCCAAAATTTTCTTATTGGACAAATTTTATGCTATCATTTCATTTCAGTAATATTCATGATTGAATTATTACATAATAATTGTCTTCTTTGAAGTAATTATGTCCTGGCTATTTCTGGCTATTTTCAATTATATTCAAGTCCCAAACTGAAATTTTAATTTTCCACTTTTCTTTGTTTTTAGGCTCTCAAAATTTTGCAGAATGACATAAAAAGACCAGAAATTTTGTGACACTGTGAACTTGCATTCTTAAAAGGTTATGATATTTTGATAGTTCATTAATTTGCAGAAATATTTGTTGCAGTTCACATAATCTTTCTAATTGCTGATGATATTTGGAAATGGTTGTCAAAACCTACCAAATAATTAGGTATGAAGTAGGTATAAAGTAGGTGAAAAGCAAAATGTCACTTTCAGTGTTTAAAACCTTGCAATTAGAAGTTTCCTAGAGGTCTGCATATAACCATTAGTCAATACAAAACTGAAAATTTAGCGTATTCCCAGTTGGTGGGATTAAACTGTCCCTTGTCAATAGTCATTATTCTGGAAGATTCTGATGCATCAAGCAATATGAGAAATAATTTTTAAAACAGAGATAGAAATATTTTTTGAAACATTTTTAAAATCTTAATCCAGAGTCATACTCTTGGCCACTGTTTGGTATTGTTAAAAAACATTTACAAAATGTCGCTTATGATCAGTATAATCCTTTACACCTGGGTGCCCTCTCACCCCTGCGTCCAGGGATGATGCGAGTAAAGGTGGATCACTGTATTGTAGTGTTGTATAAAATAGAACGAGATATCCATTTTATTCATGTAACCCCCCATTAATGTATAATATAAATACATATATAATGTATTACTGATATTAACTTAGGACTCTTGACTCACAACTCACTGACTCACAATTTCGGCAACCTCAGAATTCTTTATCTTTACTTTTTTGGCCATGCATTTGTTTTTTTGGTTTGAAGGTTCTGGAGGTGGTTGGCTGTATGGTTGGTTGGTTGGTTGGTTGGTTGGTTGGTTGGATGGTTGGTTGGTTGGTTGGTTGGTTGGTTGGATGGTTGGTTGGTTGGTTGGATGGTTGGTTGGTTGGTTGGTTGGTTGGTTGGTTGGTTGGTTGGTTGGTTGGTTGGTTGATCAAAATTTATACCGTTGATGGAACGGCTGAAGCTGCTTTTTTCTAAAATTCAACTGAAATGTCTTTTTTCCAAGTTCTGTGTTTGATAATGATAAGCTCAACTTTAGTTTTACGTGCCTCCCTTAAAATTATTTTTGAGTCAAATTTAGTCACTTTTGGTTAATTAACAGCAAAATTTCTTGTTTCAGTTTTTATCTAACAATTAGTTTCTTGCTGGCTGTTTGTTATAAATCTATTTTATTTTTCAAATTTAGATATTTATTTATATATTTTCATCTTCAAATTTCAAATCATTTTCTGATTTGTCTTTTTTATGCAACTTGCTTTGATTTTTTAGGAAAAATTTTCTGTAAATTGGACACAACTGTATCTTGACTCATCATTATTAATAACAATTGAATTTGTATTTAGCAATAAATTATATATTTGTTTCTGGATAGCATGTCTTCATAATGTTTATCAGACAAAAACTTAATGAAAATATGCTCTTGTGTATTGCTTGGCCAGAGCTATAGCCATTTAAGGCTAAAGAGTATTTTATTAGCTGATATATTTTTCTACCAATGAGGCTCTATTTGAAAATTCATAATTTTACATTTTTTATTTTTCAGCAATTTGGTCAACAATTTCAGCAGTTTTTACATTCCATGACAACAGATACAAAGATTTTATTTCTCTTAAAGAATACTTTTATTGAGAATCTTTTCAAATGCGTGTTGTTTTTATCTACAGAGGTCTAGTTTAAATTTCTATGGATTCACTTTCTGCCGTTTATTGAAGAGTCAATGACTTTTTGTTGTATAATTGTTTACTTTAATTTTTATCCGTATTCATCATGGTGGCTAAATATGTCTCACTTTTCACGAAAAACTCTCCAGGATATAATAATTGGATATTGATCAAAGGGTAAGCAGAAATTTATGTTCACATGCAGATAGAAAGTTATACTTGAGGAATAATCCAAGTTTGACTAGATTGTCATTCCAAAGCAATTCCTCACACAGCTGAAGAGTCCAAGAGAGAAGAAGAAGAGAGAACAAACTATTTCTGTCTACATATGTTGGGATCTTTTGTTAGGAAAAGAGCTCCTGCACCTTTTCCAATGAAAGCTTCTAAAGATGTTCTGGACAGTTGTTCCAAGCAGTTTCTGCAAGCTATTTAGTAACATCTTTTCATTTTCAGTCACCTCTTGCATGCATGTTTTATGCTTTATTTTGACTTTTATTGAGAATCTTTTCAAATGCGTGTTGTTTGTTATCTACAGTGGTCTAATTTGAATTTCTATGGATTCACTTTCTGCCATTTATTGAAGAGTCAATGACTTTTTGTTGTATAATTGTTTACTTTAATTTTTATCCATATTCATCATGGTGGCTAAATATGTCTCGCTTTTCACGAAAAACTCTCCAGGATATACTAATTGGATATTGATCAAAGGGTAAGCAGAAATTTATGTTCACATGCAGATAGAAAGTTATACTTGAGGAATAATCCAAGTTTGACTAGATTGTCATTCCAAAGCAATTCCTCACACAGCTGAAGAGTCCAAGAGAGAAGAAGAAGAGAGAGAACAAACTATTTCTGTCTACATATGTTGGGATCATTTGTTAGGAAAAGAGCTCCTGCACCTCACTTTTTCATTTCACATCTTGCATGCAAGTTTTTTGCTTTACTTCCATTTTTTGTTTGTTTGAAGTTATGGACAGGACAAGATAGGAGCATGCCTTTGTCATTATACCCTATGTTTTTTGTCAAATTCGTTGTTTTTATGCATCTTTTTTCTTTCTGTTTTAGGTTTGATTGGAATTTTTACAACAGTACAGTTTTAAAAATAAGTTCCTTAATTATTTCTTTCCCCATTGTTCTGATTAGAGCATTTGTTTGAGGTGAAAAATGACAAGAATACAAGGTGATCAATTTTTTTAACTTTCAAAGGAAATTGTATACAAGCTTTATAAACACATTTTTGTCAGGTAAATGTTTTTTAATAATCAAGAAGTTTTGGCTATGGAATATGTATGGAATCTAGCAAATGGAAGACTGATCAATTTTTCTGATTTTACCAAAAAAAAGTTTAGTTAACATTTGATCAAATTTCTATGCAATGACTCTAGGTATAAAGTGCTGATAAAGCGTCTTCAAAATGTTTAAAAATTTGCTTTGCTTGCTTAATTTTAGCAAACACGAAATAGATAATTATTTTTATTGTGCAGGGTGGTGAAAGCTGTGCATGCTGTTGTTATTTCAAGATCTATTTGTTCCAAGTAAAATACTGCAAAGGTATGTTCTTACTTTCACATTTGACCTAATTTGATAAAAATTCTGAATTGAGAAATATTTTCTGAACTTTTAGTAAACGTTTTTCTTTATTCATTGGCAGTTTGGTTTTATGTATTTATTGGTTTTGTGTTGTAAATAAAATAAAGCAACTTATACAAAGGATAACTTCTTATTGCCAATGAAAGATATCTTGGACAGAACAAGTGCTAACAGAAGACAGAAGTGGATTATGGCTATCAATGTGGATTTTCAATCATTCTCCCCTTCATACTGTCCCTTAATCATCTCATTTAGAAGTTTAATCAAAATTTATATGCGAAGTTCAACAAGGGCTTTAGTTACGAGGGCGTAGAGCTGCAACAACTCCTTCGAAAAATCCTTTTCAGAGACGACTTTTTGCTACCTAAAGGTGCCTCATCGGCATTGGAAAGTAAAGAGGATGGTTTTAAGCAGCCATTTATCCGGCCTGCATGTCAACTCCGGCCTGCAACAAGATTTCGTCAGGCCCCCCGAACTCTTTTACCTTTTTTTTACCGAATAAATTTTGGCTTGCACTTTCAAAATTTGGAATTCGACTTAGTTTGTAAATGTTTTCTGCTCAGAAACCTTCTTTTTCTCTGCAGTAAATGATAATATGCATTTCGTTGAGCAGTTATTTGTCCGGAAAAAATATCTAAATAGGAAATGCTTTCAACTGAACTCTTTATAGCGAAAAATAGGTACACGGAATAGATTTTATTAATATAGAACCTAGCATGAAATAATTGGCCTGTCATCCTATCTACGGTTAGGCCTGGTATATATAAGATCTGAACTTCATTTTGAGCAGCTTTGTTGACAAAGGATATGTAAAAGTTGTAAACTCAGGGGCTCTTCCAAAAGTTGTAAACACACGGAAAATCCACACATTTTCTGCCACGGCACACAAACTATTTAAAAACCCCGGTTTAAAGGACTCATGCTACCTATTTTACCTTGTAATTTTATTGACGAATTCGTTTTGAAAATAGGTCAAATTTAGGTTTTTTAAGTTTTCCGCCAAAAATTTTATTTGGAGGAACCAACGATGCTGGAAGTATGCCAGGGCAAATGGGACATACCTTTTAGAGATAGAGATAGTAGGCGCTTTTTTCTGGTCAGATTGGGTAACTTCGCTCACTGCCCCTACCATTCCTTCTGTATGAACAAGAAAATTTGAGTGGCGTCCTGGCATTTTCCGTTTTCTGCTCTGACTCTCCTCGTGGCGTTCGAGATCTGCAAAACATTAAATTTTTTGACAAAATGCGGGATAACTTTTCACTGGTTCTCATTTCCTTCAACCTATTTGCAGCTTTCTTGATTCCATACAATACATTCTCTGCCGAGTTATCTATTGCCTGTAATTCCCTTGACAACTTCTACATGATAACAATGATACCACATACAGTGATACCACCAAAAGTGATAGATTGTTCTGTAATTCAAAAGCCTGAAGTCGAAAACACGGACATGGACCTTTAATTCTCCTCTGTTGCTTCGATTACTTTATATTTTATTCAAAGCGATTCAATTCTTTATGTATCTTGATTACCACCTTTGCAGTTTTTCCCCAACGAGTTTCCCATAGACTTTTTTAGATGGATTGACTTCGCTGATTTTAGGTATGAAGATTCTTGCATTGCTTAAGGTTTTTCTTGCTTCTGCTGGATATCGTTGAAAGGTTGTACCCTTTTTTGATAGGCACTCACAAATACATATCAGTCCTGGCACATCTGATTGCTTAACAGCATCTGTACGTTAAACAATGGACATCAAATGCTCGTTCTCCTGCGAATTCTTTCACTTCCTTTGCGAGTTTCTTTATCACTGAACAAATTTGATTTCTCTCTAGGCCACATCTTGAAACAACATCTTTCAAATGCTCTAGTAAAGCAAAAGCAACTAGGCCACTAGAACAATGCCAACAAAAATCTCCTTAATTTCATATGCATTGGAGACTCTCCGAAGAGATATTGAGACTTGTTCTTTTTTAGAAATGTCAGCTGATTCATCTGCCATGATTCAAGATTTTTTCTTCTTGAGCAACTGTAGATGTGCTTTGGTCAGCTATTGTTGTTGAACTTGTGGTTTTTAATGGTAGAATTTATTGTTAATGAATTTATAGAGCCAAAAAATAAGTTGCAGCTGCTACCAAAGACCCAAATAATTTCTTCTTTCTTAGAGGTTTAGTCTTTCCGTTTTGTCTTTTGAATTATATTTCCCTTTGATATATTTTATTCTCTATCAATCATTTGTGGTTGATAAAGATTCGACTCCAGTTCATATATTTGTAGAGGAAATAAATAAATTTCAGTTGCTATCAAGGACTCAAATAATTTCTTCTTCCTTAGAGTTTTAATTGGACGTTGGTTGTGTTTTTTAGTCATATTTCCCTTTGGTATATTTCAATCTTTATCAATCATCTCTAGTTGATAAAGATTCGAATTCGGTTCATATATTTAAAGTGAAAATAAATAAACTTCTTCTACCAAGGACCCAAATAATTACTTCTTTCTTAGAGTTTTAATTGGACGTTGGTTGTGTTTTTTAGTCATATTTCCCTTTGATAGATTTCAATATTTATGAATCATTTCAAGTTGATAAAGATTTGAATCCAGTTCATATATTTAAAGTGAAAATAAATAAACTTCTTCTACCAAGGACCCAAATAATTACTTCTTTCTTAGAGTTTTCATAATACGTTGGTTGTGTTTTAGAGTCATATTTCCCTTTGATAGATTTCAATTTTTATCAATATTTTGTGGTTGATAAAGATTTGAATCCAGTTCATATATTTAAAGTGAAAATAAATAAACTTCTTCTATCAAGAACCCAAATAATTACTTCTTTCTTAGAGTTTTCATAATACGTTGGTTGTGTTTTAGAGTCATATTTCCCTTTGATAGATTTCAATCTTTATCAATATTTTGTGGTTGATAAAGATTTGAATCCAGTTCATATATTTAAAGTGAAAATAAATAAACTTCTTCTACCAAGGACCCAAATAATTACTTCTTTCTTAGAGTTTTCATAATACGTTGGTTGTGTTTTTTAGTCATATTTCCCTTTGGTATATTTCAATCTTTATCAATCATCTCTAGTTGATAAAGATTTGAATCCGGTTCATATATTTAAAGTGAAAATAAATAAACTTCTTCTACCAAGAACCCAAATAATTACTTCTTTCTTAGAGTTTTCATAGTACGTTGGTTGTGTTTTTTAGTCATATTTCCCTTTGGTATATTTCAATCTTTATCAATCATCTCTAGTTGATAAAGATTCAAATCCAGTTCATATATTTAAAGTGAAAATAAATAAACTTCTTCTACCAAGAACCCAAATAATTACTTCTTTCTTAGAGTTTTCATAGTACGTTGGTTGTGTTTTTTAGTCATATTTCCCTTTGGTATATTTCAATCTTTATCAATCATCTCTAGTTGATAAAGATTCGAATCCAGTTCATATATTTAAAGTGAAAATAAATAAACTTCTTCTACCAAGGACCCAAATAATTACTTCTTTCTTAGAGTTTTCATAATACGTTGGTTGTGTTTTAGAGTCATATTTTCCTTTGATAGATTTCAATCTTTATCAATATTTTGTGGTTGATAAAGATTTAAATCCGGTTCATATATTTAAAGTGAAAATAAATAAACTTCTTCTACCAAGGACCCAAATAATTACTTCTTTCTTAGAGTTTTCATAATACGTTGGTTGTGTTTTAGAGTCATATTTTCCTTTGATAGATTTCAATCTTTATCAATATTTTGTGGTTGATAAAGATTTGAATCCGGTTCATATATTTAAAGTGAAAATAAATAAACTTCTTCTACCAAGGACCCAAATAATTACTTCTTTCTTAGAGTTTTCATAATACGTTGGTTGTGTTTTAGAGTCATATTCTCCTTTGATAGATTTCAATCTTTATCAATATTTTGTGGTTGATAAAGATTTGAATCCAGTTCATATATTTAAAGTGAAAATAAATAAACTTCTTCTACCAAGGACCCAAATAATTACTTCTTTCTTAGAGTTTTCATAATACGTTGGTTGTGTTTTAGAGTCATATTTTCCTTTGATAGATTTCAATATTTATGAATCATTTCAAGTTGATAAAGATTTGAATCCGGTTCATATATTTAAAGTGAAAATAAATAAACTTCTTCTACCAAGGACCGAAATAATTACTTCTTTCTTAGAGTTTTCATAATACGTTGGTTGTGTTTTAGAGTCATATTTCCCTTTGATAGATTTCAATATTTATGAATCATTTCAAGTTGATAAAGATTTGAATCCGGTTCATATATTTAAAGTGAAAATAAATAAACTTCTTCTACCAAGGACCGAAATAATTACTTCTTTCTTAGAGTTTTCATAATACGTTGGTTGTGTTTTAGAGTCATATTTCCCTTTGATAGATTTCAATATTTATGAATCATTTCAAGTTGATGAAGATTTGAATCCGGTTCATATATTTAAAGTGAAAATATATAAACTTCTTCTACCAAGGACCCAAATAATTACTTCTTTCTTAGAGTTTTCATAATACGTTGGTTGTGTTTTAGAGTCATATTTTCCTTTGATAGATTTCAATCTTTATCAATATTTTGTGGTTGATAAAGATTTGAATCCAGTTCATATATTTAAAGTGAAAATAAATAAACTTCTTCTACCAAGGACCCAAATAATTACTTCTTTCTTAGAGTTTTCATAATACATTGGTTGTGTTTTAGAGTCATATTTTCCTTTGATAGATTTCAATCTTTATCAATATTTTGTGGTTGATAAAGATTTGAATCCAGTTCATATATTTAAAGTGAAAATAAATAAACTTCTTCTACCAAGGACCCAAATAATTACTCCTTTCTTAGAGTTTTCATAATACGTTGGTTGTGTTTTAGAGTCATATTTTCCTTTGATAGATTTCAATCTTTATCAATATTTTGTGGTTGATAAAGATTTGAATCCAGTTCATATATTTAAAGTAAAAATAAATAAACTTCTTCTACCAAGGACACAAATAATTACTTCTTTCTTAGAGTTTTCATAATACGTTGGTTGTGTTTTAGAGTCATATTTTCCTTTGATAGATTTCAATCTTTATCAATATTTTGTGGTTGATAAAGATTTGAATCCAGTTCATATATTTAAAGTGAAAATAAATAAACTTCTTCTACCAAGGACCCAAATAATTACTTCTTTCTTAGAGTTTTCATAATACGTTGGTTGTGTTTTAGAGTCATATTTCCCTTTGATAGATTTCAATTTTTATCAATATTTTGTGGTTGATAAAGATTTGAATCCGGTTCATATATTTAAAGTGAAAATAAATAAACTTCTTCTATCAAGAACCCAAATAATTACTTCTTTCTTAGAGTTTTCATCATACGTTGGTTGTGTTTTAGAGTCATATTTTCCTTTGATAGATTTCAATCTTTATCAATATTTTGTGGTTGATAAAGATTCGAATCCGGTTCATATATTTAAAGTGAAAATAAATAAACTTCTTCTACCAAGGACCCAAATAATTACTTCTTTCTTAGAGTTTTCATAATACGTTGGTTGTGTTTTAGAGTCATATTTTCCTTTGATAGATTTCAATCTTTATCAATATTTTGTGGTTGATAAAGATTTGAATCCAGTTCATATATTTAAAGTGAAAATGAATAAACTTCTTCTACCAAGGACCCAAATAATTACTTCTTTCTTAGAGTTTTCATAATACATTGGGTGTGTTTTAGAGTCATATTTTCCTTTGATAGATTTCAATCTTTATCAATATTTTGTGGTTGATAAAGATTTGAATCCAGTTCATATATTTAAAGTGAAAATAAATAAACTTCTTCTACCAAGGACCCAAATAATTACTTCTTTCTTAGAGTTTTCATAATACGTTGGTTGTGTTTTAGAGTCATATTTCCCTTTGATAAATTTCAATCTTTATCAATATTTTGTGGTTGATAAAGATTTGAATCCAGTTCATATATTTAAAGTGAAAATAAATAAACTTCTTCTACCAAGGACCCAAATAATTACTTCATTCTTAGAGTTTTCATAATATTTATTCTCTATCAGTGCTTTTCATTGGACGTTAGTTAGGTCTTCTGAATCATATTTCCCTTTGATATATTTTTATCTTTATCAAACATTTCTGGTTGATGAAAAGTGTTAATGAAGGCACAAATTATCCATTCTCTATCATTGTATTTCATTGGACGTTAGTTAGGTCTTCTGAATCATATTTCCCTTTGATACATTTTCATCTTTATCAAACATTTCTGGTTGATGACAACTGTTAATAAAGGCACAAATTATTTATTCTCTATCAGTGCTTTTCATTGGACGTTAGTTAGGTCTTCTGAATCATATTTCCCTTTGATATATTTTCATCTTTATCAAACATTTCTGGTTGATGACAACTGTTAATAAAGGCACAAATTATTTATTCTCTATCAGTGCTTTTCATTGGACGTTAGTTAGGTCTTCTAAATTATATTTCCCTTTGATATATTTTCATCTTTATCAAACATTTCTGGTTGATGACAACTGTTAATAAAGGCACAAATTATTTATTCTCTATCAGTGCTTTTCATTGGACGTTAGTTAGGTCTTCTGAATCATATTTCCCTTTGATATATTTTCATCTTTATCAAACATTTCTGGTTGATGAAAACTGTTAATGAAGACACAAATTGTTTATTCTCTATCAGTGCTTTTCATTTGATGTTAGTTAGGTCTTCTGAATCATATTTCCCTTTGATATATTTTCATCTTTATCAAACATTTCTGGTTAATAACAACTTTTAATGAAGGCACAAATTATTCATTCTCTATCAGTGCTTTCATTGGACGTTAGTTAGGTCTTCTGAATCATATTTCCCTTTGATATATTTTCATCTTTATCAAACATTTCTGGTTGATAACAACTGTTAATGAAGACACAAATTATTTATTCTCTATCAGTGTATTTCATTGGACGTTTGTTAGGTCTTCTGAATCATATTTCCCTTTGATACATTTTCATCTTTTCCAAACATTTCTGGTTGATGACAACTGTTAATAAAGGCACAAATTATTTATTTTCTTTCAGTGCTTTTCATTGGACGTTAGTTAGGTCTTCTGAATCATATTTCCCTTTGATACATTTTCATCTTTATCAAACATTTCTGATTGATAACAACTGTTGAAGAAGACACAAATTATTTATTCACTATCAGTGTATTTCATTGGACGTTAGTTAGGTCTTCTGAATCATATTTCCCTCTGATATATTTTCATCTTTATCAAACATTTCTGGTTGATAACAACTGTTAATGAAGATACAAATTATTTATCTTTTATCAGTGTATTTCATTGGACGTTAGTTAGGTCTTCTGAATCATATTTCCCTTTGATATATTTTCATCTTTATCAAACATTTCTGGTTGATAACAACTGTTAATGAAGACAAAAATTATTTATTCTCTATCAGTGCTCTTCATTGAACGTTTGTTGGATCATCTGAATCATATTTCCCTTTGATATATTTTCATCTTTATCAAACATTTCTGGTTGATGAAAATTGTTAGTGAAGACACAAATTTTTTATTCTCTATCAGTGTAATTCATTGGACGTTAGTTAGGTCTTCTGAATCATATTTCCCTTTGATATATTTTCATCTTTCTCAAACATTTCTGGTTGATGAAAACTGTTAATGAAGACACAAATTGTTTATTCTCTATCAGTGCTTTTCATTTGATGTTAGTTAGGTCTTCTGAATCATATTTCCCTTTGATATATTTTCATTTTTATCAAACATTTCTGGTTGATAACAACTGTTAATGAAGGTACAAATTATTTATTCTTTATCAGTGTATTTTATTGGACGTTAGTTAGGTCTTCTGAATCATATTTCCCTTTGATATATTTTCATTTTTATCAAACATTTCTGGTTGATAACAACTGTTAATGAAGGTACAAATTATTTATTCTCTATCAGTGTATTTTATTGGACGTTAGTTAGGTCTTCTGAATCATATTTCCCTTTGATATATTTTCATCTTTATCAAACATTTCTGGTTGATATCAACTGTTAATGAAGGCACAAATTATTTATTCTCTATCAGTTCTTTCATTGGACGTTAGTTAGGTCTTCTGAATCATATTTCCCTTTGATATATTTTCATCTTTATCAAACATTTCTGGTTGATGACAACTGTTAATGAAGACCGAAATTATTTATTCTCTATCAGTGCTTTTCATTGGACGTTAGTTGGGTCTTCTGAATCATATTTCCCTTTGATATATTTTCATCTTTATCAAACATTTCTGGTTGATAACAACTGTTAATAAAGGCACAAATTATTTATTCTTTATCAGTGTATTTTATTGGACGTTAGTTAGGTCTTCTGAATCATATTTCCCTTTGATATATTTTCATCTTTATCAAACATTTCTGGTTGATAACAACTGTTAATGAAGGTACAAATTATTTATTCTTTATCAGTGTATTTTATTGGACGTTAGTTAGGTCTTCTGAATCATATTTCCCTTTGATATATTTTCATCTTTATCAAACATTTCTGGTTGATAACAACTGTTAATGAAGACACAAATTATTTATTCTCTATCAGTGTATTTCATTGGACGTTAGTTAGGTCTTCTGAATCATATTTCCCTCTGATATATTTTCATTTTATCAAACATTTCTGGTTGATAACAACTGTTAATGAAGACAAAAATTATTTATTCTCTATCAGTGCTCTTCATTAAACGTTTGTTGGGTCTTCTGAATCATATTTCCCTTTGATATATTTTCATCTTTATCAAACATTTCTGGTTGATGAAAATTGTTAATGAAGACACAAAATATTTATTCTCTATCAGTGTATTTCATTGGACGTTAGTTAGGTCTTCTGAATCATATTTCCCTTTGATACATTTTCATCTTTTCCAAACATTTCTGGTTGATGACAACTGTTAATAAAGGCACAAATTATTTATTTTCTTTCAGTGCTTTTCATTGGACGTTAGTTAGGTCTTCTGAATGATATTTCCCTTTGATACATTTTCATCTTTATCAAACATTTCTGATTGATAACAACTGTTGAAGAAGACACAAATTATTTATTCTCTCTTGTATGTTTCATTGGACGTTAGTTGCTCTTTCTAAATCATATTTCCCTTTGATCTTTTAATTTTTATCCATTCTATCATGTTCATAAAATTTGGAATCATGTTGATATATTTTGAGTAGAAATGAATAAATCCCAAGTAATCTCGTAGATATTATCTGTTAAATTTCACCACTTGGAATCGCAAACAAGCTTTATCTCTATAAAACATAGCATAGGCAGAACTTGACTTGCTTGGAGACAGTAGGTCTCTTGAGAAACACACAAAGGTAGTTGCACGAGAAAGGGCTTTCTTTTCTGTAGTGTGAATAGAATTCAAAGTTTAATGATTATAGGCTTGGATGATTCCGTCGCTGAGAAAGTAAACAAGGATATCTAAGACTAACTTTTACCACGTGCATGGATTTCGGATCTTGTAATTTTATTTATTGCTTCATGGACGATTCTTCTTCGATTTTGCTGGCTTCTTGTTTATTTTTTGCAGACCGCAGCAAGATTTGAAGGCAGCCATATTGGTGAAGCTGAATTTATTGTGAAGATTGGAAGATACAAGAACACTTGATCGAGATATTGGACTTTTATCGAAAAGACTTTGTTGTTAGTTTGTAATTTGCAATCGGTACTTTCTCGCTAATTTCGCTCACATCCAAAACCAAGTTTTTTGCTACAAGAGGTGACCCGAAGGAACATTGCCACATATATTATGATAATCAAGATTTCGATTTGAAGAAGCTAAGAGGCAATTTATGACATATTATTTTCGCACTATGAAGGATAGGATTCGAATCGAGTTTCCAGGTAAAGAAATTTCCACCTTGCATATGTACCCGTACCCTACAGGTAATTTCAGTCATTGTAACTTTGCACATACCCACTTCCCGCACCCTCTTAGCTAAGTCGATTAGAGAATATAAAACCCCTCTTCGAATCCAAGATTTTTAGCTTTTAAATAGACTATTAAGCATCCCCTCCATTTTCAGTAGGTCATTTTAGTCAATTTAACCATAAGATAATCGATATAGGACTGCTTAAGACCCTACCCTTCTCCATAGAACCCTCTTTATCATAATCGAAGTTTGATATCGTATTGCGAGAGAGTATCGATACTTCGTTAGGTTAATTATTTCTAGTTAGACATTTTGTAACATTTGAAGGCATATTCTTCTAATGGGTGTGAACAAGGCGCCTGTTCGCATCTGTTTTTAGAATAGGCCTTTCTCGTTTAATGTAGTTTGTATTTGTATTTTAATGTATTTAATTAGTTGCTTAGGAGACTGTTTTCGGTGTTATGTTAGCGGTTATGTTAGCACGGTGTTTTAATCGAGGGGTTAACGGGAAGGAGTTCTTCTCTTTTTTGTTGACCCTTTGCTTAAAACACCATGTTAACATAACCCCTAGCACAACATTCGAAGGGTTTTCTTGGCAGGGTGTTTTAATCGAAGGGTTAACAAGGGGGACTTCTTTCCTTCTTGTTAACCCTTTGCTTAAAACACCATGCTTAGACAAACCCCTTTCGAAAACAGTCTCCTCGGCACTAAGGTAGAACTTAACATTGTAAGTAGAGTAAGATCGCTTGAATGAAGAGGAGAAAATCGAGCAAAAATTCTTTCTGACCCCCGTCTTTTGACCGGTCCAAACGAGGCTGTAACCCCCCGTCTTCGGTGGGCATCGAAACGAGGCAAATCGGGTTGAAATAAGCGAATCTGATTGGTTAAAAACAATTGAAAGGACAATAGAATTTTCTAAATGATGATTGGTCAGAAAACAATAGAAAATTTGAATTGAAGGGCTCTGATTGGTCAGTAAACAATAGAGTGAGACCAAAATGGCTCAATTTGATTGGTTGAAAAACAATGGTGGCCGCCAGTGGCCGCTGTTTCTAAAATTTTCCCTATATTATAGGTGACGGCCCTCGCCCGCAGCCACCAAAAGGGCTCAAATGAAGCAATCTGATTGGCTAAAAACAATGACCTGTCAATCATTCGCGGCTCCCAGCCGCATTTTTTGCAGCCACCGTTTAGGGGCATGGCCGCCGTAGAAGAACAATGGAAAACCTTCAATCGCCAACAGGATTTTCTAATATAAAGACGGGGGAATATCTTTTCAATTTCTTTAGAAATCTATAAAGGCTCTTATAGAAATAGGCAAAGGTTTTCTGAGTCAAGACAAAAGAAACACTGTCAAACTTCAAAGACAATTTTCAATGAAAACAAACGAATTTTTTTGATTGAACAATAGTTGTAAGACTTATAAACAAAGAAGTTCGGGGGTAAATTGAATAGATTTAAATCGAAATTACAATGGAAAACGGGGGTAAATTGAATAGATTTAAATCGAAAATACAATTGAAAACGGGGGTAAATTGAATAGATTTAAATCGAAAATACAATTGAAAACGGGGGTAAATTGAATAGATTGAAATCGAAAATACAATGAAAAACGGGGGTAAATTGAATAGATTTAAATCGAAAATACAATGGAAAACGGGGGTAAATTGAATAGATTTAAATCGAAAATACAATGGAAACCGGGGGTCAATTCAATAGATAAAAATCGCAAATACAATGGAAACCGGGGGTCAATTTAATAGATTAAAATCGAAAATACAATGGTAAATCGGGGGTAAATTGAATAGATTTAAATCGAAAATACAATGGAAAACGGGGGTCAATTCAATAGATTTAAATCGAAAATACAATGGAAAATCGGGGGTTAATTCAACAGATTTAAATCGAAAAACAATTGAAACTTAGAGGGAAATTAAATAGATTGAAATCGAAGTTACAATGGAAGATCGGCGATTGCTTCGACATAATACAACCAAAAAGGGTTTGCGTATTTGACTTTTGAAAAATCAATACTTTGATACTTTTGAGCATCACAAGTTTACGATTATCCAATTAGAGATACGATGAAAATGGTAATGAATTCAGTAAAACTGTTCACTGTTCAAATTGAAAAATGTCAATTCCCCAGAAACGACCTCAAGCTTTAACCAGAATCATCTGCAATTCGAGCGCAAGTGGATGGCCTGACAGGAACTCTTCGCGAAATTCAAATCTTTTTTCGAGCCAAATTCTCAAGTATAGATACAGATTACCTGCAAATAGTTTAAAGGCGTTAGGATATAATTCTCTCTTAATAGCATCGCTAAAACGAATCATCAGGGAAAGGTTTTGTGTTATGGCGATTTCACATATGGTTACTGTGCAAATGTGTATGAGACAAAAATCCGATGTAAAAGAAACAATATTTTGCACATTAATTCGCAGAATTTTTCAGAGCAAGAAGCAAGAACCAAAAAATAATAAAACAAATAAATACCGTTTGCGAAGGCTCGAGAACATTCGGTGGCCAAAACAGCAAATGAATAAAAACAGGAACGCCTCCAACTTTAGACAGCAAGTCAACACAACACAACAATCATCGAGAAACAAGAATCCACAGAGATAATCTGAAATGCAGGGCAGCAAATGCTTAGAATATCGCCAATTTCAGTAAAGATATCAACCTCAAGTTAGCAGTTTATTGACAAAAATTGCAGCTTTGCCAGACCACGTTTTTAGGTGTGAAATCCTTTTGTTCAAAGTGTTTTTGTTTAAACTCAAAAAGCATTTGTTCGAAAGAAAAGAAACCTTTCAAAATAATTTCAAAAGAAAGGCTACCTGCTAGCGACTGAGGCTTTTATTATTGAATAGACCATCTGAACTGGCATCAAAATAGGGGAAATTATATATACAAACAATACAAATTAAAAATAAAAACAATACAAAATTATATACACAAATCAATTTATAAATTTACAAAAAATATGAAGGGAAAATTAGGATTCATCATGAACAGGTGACCATTTTAAGTTTTTATGAACCTCTTTAAATTTGGTAAATGCCTCAGATCCTTTCTTATTTCTGATTATTTTCCTAAAAAACATTTGCCACCAAAAACAGGTGACCATTTTAAGTTTTTATGAACCTCTTTAAATTTGGTACATGCCTCAGATCCTTTCTTATTTCTGATTATTTTCCTAAAAAACATTTGCCACCAAAAACAGGGAAACATTGAATGTTTTTAGCAACACTCGTTAAAAGGCTCTTTCACTAGCAAAGGCAAACATATAAGTGAATACGAAGCAAGCACGGTAATATTTATGGCTTGTGGTATGGGAAACAGAGGCTAAAAACGGCAAAGACACTGGCAAGGGAAACTGGCAAGGGACACCGGCAAGGGACACTGGCGAGGGAACACTGGCGAGGGAACATTTGCGACGAACACTGCCAAGGGACCCTTGCACAATAAATCTTGATAGCCATTACGATTTGATTATGCTACAAATCTTAAAATTGAGGTCTTGTTCATAATTAGGTACTATACTCATTTGAGTTTAAACCACGGCTTAAAATTATATTTTGGCACGATTTTCTACAGTTTATAATTGTTTTATCCAGATCTTGCCAAGCTTTCCTGCTACCTTGAAACTGAGCGTGATAATGTAAAAGATGAGGACGAAATACTTCTGGCTGCTATTGATGATCCTGTGCTATTAGTGTTGTTTTCTATTTTTGAGCTTATTTAGTCAATTAACATTGATAAAAATTTCGTCATTTCAAACTAAGTATCTGCATGGAGGTTTTATGGGTGAGGCTTACTATCGAAGGTGGCGGCCTATATAAATAGGGTGGCTTATAATCGATAAATACGGTAGGACTAGATAATATTATCGAACGTTAATGCATCATCAGCGAAAAAAGCACGGTTTCTGCAAACAACGGCCAAAGTGCGGTCAACAAAAAGACTTTGTGATCATGATTCCCTCTACCCTGGGTACCAGACTCACTCTATATAAAATAATTTTCTTAATTCTTTTATATAGTGAGTCTGGTACCCAGGGTAGATTCCCTCGTGGTTCACCTGGGGATTGCAGGGAAAGAACAAACACGGATACGGAGAAGTGATGAGGAAAGAACACCTAGAGAAGAAGAGGGGCAAAGGAGGAATAGGAAAGGAAAGAATAAGAGGAAGACAAAGAAAGGGAAGGAAAGGAAAAATAAGAGGAGAACAGTAAAGAGAGAGGTAAAAGGAGAAAACCAGGAAAGGGAGATAAAGAAATAATAATAGGACCAGGAAAAGGAGAGGAAGGAAAATGGAGAGAACCAGAAACGGCGAGGGAAAGGATTATAATAGAAGAGACGGGAGGCCACTTAACATGAAATCTTCTTGAGAAGATAATTTAAGTAAATATAAATATAATGGTTAATATTTAAATTAATAAGAATCGTTGAAAAGTACAAAAACAGCCTCGTACAAGGTTTGTGTAGCCAATATAAACACAGTATAAAGTACAAACACACCTGATAATCCGCAAAAGCCCTTTAGTAGCCTCCTCACAATGAATGGATGAAGTTGTTCGAAATATAAATACTTCTAAAGAAATAGTGATAGCTTCAGAAATAGTTCAAGTCTTAGCTTCAGAAATAAGAATATGATGAAGGGTGAATGACCTGCTTAATTATGAGTTTCTATTTGCAGGGCTTTGATTAGCAGGGCTTTGATTTGCATCCTATCAGTGTTGTAATGGGCATTAATTCATAGAAAGTAATTT